TTTTTGGGCCATTTTCTCAGTCTTCGTGGTGGATTTTTCTAGGCCAGCCATTTTCTCTTCTAAATCTGAGATTCTATTTTCTGAATGATCTAGTCTGCTTTTAATACTTTCAAGGAAGATTTTGACTTCCTGTATTGTAGACTTCATCTCTAGCAGTTCCGTTTGAGTCTTTTGTGAAGTGTGTAATTCCTCTTTTAGATCTTGCAAGAATTTCCTCATCTCCTGGAACTCGTCAACTTCTTTCTCCTTTCTCTTTAGCAGTTCCTTATCTCTCTTCTCTTCCATCTCTGTTAGCTTCGGCATTATGAACGCTCTAAATTCCTTATTAGACATTTCCATGATTTTCACCAAACTGCTTGTGGATGAAGAAGAGTTACTCTTTTCCCTTGGAGGAGAGGTATTTCTCATTTTCCCATATTTCTTGTGACCCTCCCATATTTCTTGTGACCAGGAGGTGATTTTGTCATCTGATGGATGTTGTGTTTCTTTCAAATTCTTGAAGTTCAGCCACTAGCTCGTTTGCTGGAGGCTGAATTATCAGTAGAAAATCTTCATTCCCTGAAATATCTAGTTCACTGGAGCCATGTGGAACCTTTTTCTGAAGGCCCGGCTTCTTCTCGAAATCCATTATTTTTTAAGAGAGATTTTTTGCAGACCTTCAGTGGTGTAGTGGGTAAGAGTGCTGGATTCCCACATGGCCGACCATGGTTCGAGTCCTGGACCTGGTGGCTTGCTTTCTCGCTTTCCCTTTCTCTATCTCTGTCAGGTCAAATTAAAAAATAATAATAACAAATGGAATTGAATAAATAAATAGTTTTAAGAAGAGAGATTTTTGTTATAGGGCATATGCACTTGTTGGAGAGAAAGAGAGACAGAGAAAGAGAGAACTGAACCCTCAAAGGGGATAGCCACACTGAAGTCTCTTCTCCATTCTCCTCTTGGGATTTTGGACATGTATGCACATGGACCCAGCATGAGTTTTAAGCTGCTGGATCTGGGACTTGAATCATGGTTGACTGTGTGGGAGTCCAGCAACATAGCTATGATACCATCTGCTGGTCCCTGAAATCCATTTTTATAGTGAGAGATTCATTGTATTACTGAAGAGATTTTATTGTTACTTAATTTGTAAGATAATGAGAGACTTAACTAATTTAAAATACAGAAACTGTCTAATTCTGGATTTTATTTTCTGTTCTCCAATATTGTCATAGATATAAGGAAGCAAGGGCTGTGCCTTTCTGCGTGCCATAGTCTCTCATTGTTGAAACGGTTGGACTGACTGAGACCACTTTCAGAAACAGGCTGATTCTGTCATCAGGATTTGTGATTGCTCTTTCCTAGTATCTCTTCTCATTGTGCCGCCTTTATCCTCATCTTATCACGTAGTCCAGGTTCTAGAGCTGTTCTGTCTCATTCATTTGCCATGTGGCTGTAGTATTGGACAAACAGATAAAAGGCCTTTCTGTCAAGTTCCGCTGGACCAGGACGTTGTTGAGGGTGCCGATTTGATCAGCTGGATTTCCTAACCAGAATTGTGCAGAGCCTTTCTCTGTATAGTCCATCTCAAGGGGTCACAAACAGACCAGTGTTGGCCAGTCAGTGGCCCTTCTAGGACATACAAAGCCTAGTCTGAAAACAGGATTGTGAGAAAAACAGCATAGCTACCTGGTTATTACATGTGTAGAAAAATGAGTGTTCTGGAGACCAGCAGGTGATGAGGTTAAGGTCCTGGATTCCCACGTGGCCGACTGCGGTTCAAGGCTTAGAACGAGTGGCTTGAAAATCACAACAAATAAACAGACAAATAAATACATGTTTTTTAAAAATGAATGTTTTGTAAATTTCTTTCGTAGCAGTAAATGTATACTAATAATAGGTTTTCATTATAGTTTAAGCTCTTGTAGCTATGTGTTCAAGAAATCTTATTTAAATATGTAACATAAAATGTATGTAATTCTGTTTAAAGTTGTGTAGCTGTTCTGTTAGGCATCAGGTCAAAGAAGAAAAATAAACCTCAAAATGGAATAAAGAATTTGGCTAAAAGCTAGAAAGATCCTCTTTAATGACATGCTCTGTGTCCTAATAGATAATGAAGACTTTGATAGTTGCAGTGCTGCTGGCTGGAGTCGTCCCTCTCCTTCTGGGGCTCCTATTTGAACTGGTCATTGTTGCTCCTCTGAGGGTTCCTTTGGATCAGACGCCCCTTTTTTATCCATGGCAGGTAATAACATTTTATAGCTCATCTTTGTGGAGGATTTGGGATCAGAAAGCAGTCCTAATACTTTAATCTATTTCAAATAGTTGGTTTAGAAAGATTCCTTCATTGTTTTCTATTCTAAGAATCCTTGTAAAGATGTTTAAATAATACTCTTGAATCTTCTGCTTTCAAAATATACAGGCCATATAACTTCTATAAAAGAGATTAGTTTATAGGTTAAAATGTCAATAACTATTTAGGCTTTTCTCGTATTTAAAGATATAAAGTAACTTGTTCGATTTTTTTTTTTTTTTAACCTTTGCATTAGACTTAGAGAACCTTATTCCTTTGGACTTTATTTTTCTTTCTTTAGTAATTCATGAAGTAGATAATTTATAGTGTTACTGATTAAACTGAGTTAAACTGGACGAGCTGGTGGTGTGGTGGTTAAAGCAGCTGGATTGCACACAGCTGACATTGCAGTTGAGTCCCAGACCTGGCAGCCTGAAAAACATGCCAGAGGTGTGTGTGTTTGTGCCCTGGATCCCAACACCCCCCATTTCTAGTGCCCCTTGGCAGATTTAAACAACAAAGAAAGCGCTAAGCCAAAGGAGAATTTCCTTCCCTTAACCTTTTTACTTATTGGTGTCTTGGTTGGTTGAGTGTTGTCATTTTGTCACCTAACTTGACGATCTCAAAGGGAAACATGTAACTGCAGTGGAGAGGCCAGGCAGACACTGCCCTAAGTCATTCAGTGATCAACCACTATGAGCAAGGTGAACAGGAACTATTTACATCCTGATGTCATGCAGTGTGTGGTAGGGAAAACGCGCAGAGCAGCCTCTGACGTTGAGGAGCTGACTGAGCACGGTCAGCCAGGCCTTGGTACTCTCCTTTTGGACACGAGTAATTTCATAGAGCATCAACATTGTACAGAGCTGCCCTGTGACCATGATAGGGCAAGACAAAAGACCCCTCGTTAATCATGTCTCAATACAGACAAAATATGACCATTATTCAGACCCCCAAAATGACTGTATGTCTCCCTTTCCTGGCTCATGTGATTGGCTGCAACTTCATCACCAGTTATAGTTTTGGCTTCAGTCTGTCCCCTTCTCTAAGGTTTGTTAAGATTAGCCAGTCTACTCTGTTTTCTAATGGTGTACGATACAGAGCAAAACACTGCTCCCTTAAACCATCCCCCAAGTCCCTCAGACAAGCTGAAATTCTATCATAAACCCTTTCTAACACTACTGAAGGGCCCCAAATTCCTATTGTGTTTTCTTCCTTGTCATGGTGAATAATAATTGCAGTTTGTCAGTTACACATTTGTTCCAGGTGGTTTCGACAGTACCCCACATCATCTGTGAAGTCGCCATCACCTTAGAGAATTACTTGACATTATAAAAATTTAAAAATGTGTGTATTGTGAGCTAGCAGTTTCACTTTTCCGAATCTACTGCTGAAATGTACTGTGTGTAGAGGGAATGAGCGAGGTGGTTTCTGTAGTACATCGTTGCTTTGTAAAGGCACAAAGATGAGACGCAACCCAGATGGCCATCAGAGAATGGCTAAGTAAAATGTGGTATATCCTTGCTTTGGAACTCAGTGCATAAAACGTCAGGGTTGGAGCAGGGCAGTCCAGCTCTGCGATCTAACTTGTATGTTAAGAGATCACTTGGGAGACAGTGGGAATAAGCAGGCCTGAGTGAGTGGGAGGCAGGGACCTGAGTTCAGTGGTGCTGGGAACAGAGCAGCAGAGATTCTAGCAGCAGTTCAGCAGGGGACTCACGAAGACTACAAGCTAGAAACTCTCTGAGCCTTTGGGATGTTTCTTTAGGCCAAACCTGGTCCACATACGAGGAGGATTGGACATAAGTCAGCTCAGTCAAATCAATAAAACAGCCTAAGGATGGTTTGATGATAAAATCATAGCATTTATTTGTTTATGAGGTCTTCATTAATGTCCAGGCTTTTCCTAATTTTCTTGGGAGAATAATGCAGATTTCTGAAAGATCCAACAATGATTTGATGGAAACATTGAACTTGAACTATTGGAAGAAAAAAAATCCTAGATATTTCAGTACACATTAGCCTTCTGTAAAATTATAAATCCTGCAAAATTTCTGCTTTGAAGTGAAATAAAGTAAGAAATTTATACAGCTACTCTCTCTCCTGGTTTAATGTTTAAAACGACAACATTGTCTTCCTGGTTTTGATTACCCTAGGACTGGGCGCTTGGAGTCCTGCATGCCAAAATCATCGCAGCTATAACATTGATGGGTCCTCAGTGGTGGTTGAAAACTGTAATTGAACAGGTAAGCAAAACTCGTTTTTAGAGGAAGACATTCTGGAATGGATTGTGATTATTTTGGTTGATAGAACTCTTCATTTTTCAGTTTTTCTGGGTGTCCTACAGTTTTCTTTTTAGTGAGCATATATAAGGCAATTTTGTTTACCCATCATGGAAGAGAAAGAATGTTTTCCTCAACCTTATGAGTCCTTAGAACTGACCCTTGTAATAAAAAAATAGATTAACAAGAGAAAAACTGTTTATTAAGGTACATATTTCATTTATGGGTGTCAAAAATTTACAGAAAATGTGTATAATGAGAAATTACTCATGGATTTCAATTTTTTTTTTTTTAACTGCCAGAGGGTGCGTGCACTTTCCAGAGAGAGGAGAGGGAGGGAAGCTCCCCATGGGGTACAGCCAGGACCCAGTTCCTCTCTATTTCTCTGTCTTGTTGGGATTTGGGATATGTACACATTTGGCACATGGGATCTGGCTTCCTTAAGCACTCGGAAAAAGGCCTGATTCCTTGGATTTCACTTTTATTTTTGCACCAGAATAAACTTGTACTTTAATTCCATTAATTTTTTGAAGTAATCCCTTTCCCCCATACACGAGATCCCCAGGGAATGAATAATTTTTTAAAAAGTCGCTTTGAATTTCAGCTTATATAGCACCTTCAGCAAAGAACAGTAAATTTTCAAAGAAGTGACAAGATAGAGGAACAGGGCATTGAGTCTCTAGGGATGACAAATTAGAGGAAGGCAGAAAAAAATGGCAGGGGAAAGCTAGTTTAGTAAAGCTTGCTAATGTAGATTCTTCTAGTGTCATTCATAGGCCTCTAGGTCCTGTCTCTCCCCTCCCCCCCCAGAATTATTCAGTTAATTAATTTAATTATTTAAAAATTTTTTGACCAGAAAGAGAGAAAGGGAAAGTGAGAAAGCAGGCAGCCAGGTGTGGGACCCAGACTGTGGTTGGCCATGTGGGAGTCTAGTCCCTTAACTACCATGCCACCTGCTGGCCCCAAAAAGCATATTTTGGAATGGCATATTCTGGTCTCTCATATCACTATGGATTTTCATGAACCATGCTTTATACTTCCCTTATCTGAAGGTTAACCAGTAGCTTAAAGTACCTAGAACTCTCTTCAAAGTAGAAGAAAAATAAAATAATCAGCATGCTCTTTTAAAGTTGGGAGTTCTGATAAAACTTTGTGTTCATATTTTTAATCTTATAGACAGGAGAGTGGACAAAGTTATTGCTTGAGGCGATAAATAAAAGGTAGGAAAAATTAAAAGCTATTTAGCAACGTTATAACTATATAGCCTATATAGTCTAAAACTATTATTATTGTTTGGTGGTTATTACCACAACCACCAGATTATCTGATAGTTTTATAATATAGAAAAGTGGATTGTGCTTTTGTACTTTTATAATAAAACTAGGAAGTCTGACGATTCATTTTAGGAAGATTTCTATCCCTAATAACCAACATAGCAGATTTTGGTACTTACTTCTTTTAGCTTTAGTTATCTAGAAATGTACTTGGGGCAGACCCCTTAACCTTAGTCAGTGCCAGATACATAAGGTGTTAGAACCCTGCGACAGTAGACGCGTGTCCCCTTTTGATGTGTGGGAAGTACAGTTGTTCTTAGCCCAGTATGCACAATAAAATCAGTTGAACAATGCCCATACCTCAAGATGTTTAATTCTTAGCAGTGGGGCTGGAGGGCTCCAGGGAGTTGCTGCATTTTTGCAGGTATCTCTAAGGTATGGGCTTGCGAAGCCCCCTGGACTACAGCGGGAGTGTGGACCAATTCTCTCTGCTGTCTCCAGGTGAGACTAGCCCTGGCCAAAGAGTGCAGAGATAAAGTTTGTTCACAGCTGGAGGCTGTGGTTAATCTGACTTCATTGATCTTTTGTAGAATTTCACATTATTTTCTTGTGCATGCATGTGTGTAAATTTAGGTAAAATGGTTGGGATGGGAATTGGTTGAGAAGCACCAAGATGCATTGTTTCATTCATTAAAATGCAAGTTAGCTGGTTTCCTGGGGAGCGGGAACATACTTTTGGAGGGTTGAGCCTGTGTTCATTCACATCCCAGGGTGGTGGGCTGAGGTGCGTTAATCTTGTGACTGAGCTATGAGAGGTTCAAGTGCCGCAGGTAAAGCCAGAGGGGAAGGAAACAGAAACTGCACTTTCTGTTGGGCTCCTCCCTGCACCCTGTGCATATTTTCCATGCCATTGTTTTCCTACTCTCATATATTCTTCCCCTGCAGTTATCTCTGGTAGTAAAGCTTGCTAATGTAGATTCTTCTAGTGTCATTCATAGGCCTCTAGGTCCTGTCTCTCCCCTCCCCCCCCAGAATTATTCAGTTAATTAATTTAATTATTTAAAAATTTTTTGACCAGAAAGAGAGAAAGGGAAAGTGAGAAAGCAGGCAGCCAGGTGTGGGACCCAGACTGTGGTTGGCCATGTGGGAGTCTAGTCCCTTAACTACCATGCCACCTGCTGGCCCCAAAAAGCATATTTTGGAATGGCATATTCTGGTCTCTCATATCACTATGGATTTTCATGAACCATGCTTTATACTTCCCTTATCTGAAGGTTAACCAGTAGCTTAAAGTACCTAGAACTCTCTTCAAAGTAGAAGAAAAATAAAATAATCAGCATGCTCTTTTAAAGTTGGGAGTTCTGATAAAACTTTGTGTTCATATTTTTAATCTTATAGACAGGAGAGTGGACAAAGTTATTGCTTGAGGCGATAAATAAAAGGTAGGAAAAATTAAAAGCTATTTAGCAACGTTATAACTATATAGCCTATATAGTCTAAAACTATTATTATTGTTTGGTGGTTATTACCACAACCACCAGATTATCTGATAGTTTTATAATATAGAAAAGTGGATTGTGCTTTTGTACTTTTATAATAAAACTAGGAAGTCTGACGATTCATTTTAGGAAGATTTCTATCCATAATAACCAACATAGCAGATTTTGGTACTTACTTCTTTTAGCTTTAGTTATCTAGAAATGTACTTGGGGCAGACCCCTTAACCTTAGTCAGTGCCAGATACATAAGGTGTTAGAACCCTGCGACAGTAGACGCGTGTCCCCTTTTGATGTGTGGGAAGTACAGTTGTTCTTAGCCCAGTATGCACAATAAAATCAGTTGAACAATGCCCATACCTCAAGATGTTTAATTCTTAGCAGTGGGGCTGGAGGGCTCCAGGGAGTTGCTGCATTTTTGCAGGTATCTCTAAGGTATGGGCTTGCGAAGCCCCCTGGACTACAGCGGGAGTGTGGACCAATTCTCTCTGCTGTCTCCAGGTGAGACTAGCCCTGGCCAAAGAGTGCAGAGATAAAGGTTTGTTCACAGCTGGAGGCTGTGGTTAATCTGACTTCATTGATCTTTTGTAGAATTTCACATTATTTTCTTGTGCATGCATGTGTGTAAATTTAGGTAAAATGGTTGGGATGGGAATTGGTTGAGAAGCACCAAGATGCATTGTTTCATTCATTAAAATGCAAGTTAGCTGGTTTCCTGGGGAGCGGGAACATACTTTTGGAGGGTTGAGCCTGTGTTCATTCACATCCCAGGGTGGTGGGCTGAGGTGCGTTAATCTTGTGACTGAGCTATGAGAGGTTCAAGTGCCGCAGGTAAAGCCAGAGGGGAAGGAAACAGAAACTGCACTTTCTGTTGGGCTCCTCCCTGCACCCTGTGCATATTTTCCATGCCATTGTTTTCCTACTCTCATATATTCTTCCCCTGCAGTTATCTCTGGTAGAATATTCTAGATAAAATTATGGAGATACTCTGAAAACTTGTAGTTTTTTACGTATTTACGGTAGAATTTATAGTGTTTCTACATAAAACACATTTTGACTTGTTAAAATTAAGTTTATACAAGTTGTTCAAAAACATTTCCTATTTATAGTATTTTCTTGTCACATTTGGAAATAATTAATGCAGTCTTGAGTGATATCCCAAGCCACTCTTATGTTTGTATAAAGTTACTTCAGATTATATGGTCTTTGTTTAATATTTTTGAATGTCATCTGGTATTGTGAAGTCCAAATGGTTAGTGTAAGTTATGATTCTAGATTAATGTCTCATTTCATCACCTAGAGTTAAGTATAAAATGTTTGTAGGTAAATGTTTTTTTCTTTTTTTCAATAACTCTTAGGCATTAAGTTTACGTTTATATTCCAGAATTTACCTTGACTTTGAGTGGGGTGGGGGGGACCTGTTTGAGGCCTTCAAGGATTGACAGATTCCATTTGCCCTGTCTTGGACTCAGGGGAGATTAGGCGATTAAGCTAGAGGAAAACGCCTTGTGTTTTAATTGTTTTTTTTCCAATGTTGCAGGTTTACGCAAATGGCATCCGGAACATCGACCTTCACTATATCGTTCGTAAGCTGGCCGCCCCGGTGATCTCTGTGCTCCTGCTCTCCCTGTGTGTCCCCTACGTCATAGCTTCTGGTGTCGTTCCTTTACTAGGTGGGTAATGCTGCTCAGGGAACCACGAAAGAGCACTTTTACTAATACTGTGAATTTCCTGTCATTTCCCGTAACAGAGGTGTAACTCCAGTTGTTTATTTGTTAGTATAAATCCAGCTATTCTAGTCCTTAATAAACCCATAGGGATTAAAAGGAGCATAAGCTCTCTGGTGGGACCAGCAGTTGGCGTAATGGCTATGTCGCTGGACTCCCATGTAGCCCACTGCAGTTTGAGTCCTGAACGCCGGGCATGTGTGCTGCACGCCCAAGGTCCCAAGAGGAGAATGGAGGAGAAGGGATTGCGGCATGGCCATCCTCCCTGGGAGAGTGATTTCTTGCTTTCTGACTCTCCATTTCTCTCTGTCATTCTGGTGAGCACACGTGCCCTATGGCAAAAACCTCTCAAAAAAAAAAATAATGAAGCTCTTTGGTACAGTTTTTTCTCTAAGCAGGGGATAAAGTATTGAAATTTACACTCTCCTCAAAATAGGCAGCGTCAGATTTTCTCCAAGTGTCCTATTAGAAGTGTTGTGATCGTACAGATAAAACTAAGTTAAAACGTGTTAAATTTTAATTAAAAAAAAAGTTTCTTAGCATAAAAGGAACGCCCCCAATTTTTGTTGTTGTTTTTGTTTGTTTTTAAACTACAATGTGGTTGAAATGTGAAGCGACAATACTCCCTGTGGAGCGTTTGAATCCCAGAATGTTTGTGTTAGAAGAGACCTTAAATCACCTACTCTAATTCCTCCCGTGTTTTCCAGAAGAGAACCATGGGATCTGGAAGGTTCATGACTCTTACGTACAGCTTGAGAGACCAGGGCTGATTTCGAAAGCTGCTTGTTCTGTACTCCATCCCCACTTTGTATTTTAAAGGATGTATTTCATTGCACTGTTATTCCACATTCACTTAAAGTTTTTCCTTGTTTGGTTTTACAGGTGTTACGGCAGAAATGCAAAACTTAGTCCACCGGCGGATTTATCCATTTTTGCTGATGGTTGTGGTGTTGATGGCAATCTTATCCTTCCAGGTCCGCCAGTTTAAGCGCCTTTATGAACATATTAAAAATGACAAGTAAGTCTAGGGTTCTGTGCATTGACCACTCTTGTTAAGGGGTTGTCACTTATTACTTTTTATGTCTGATGTAATAAATCATTGCAGGAAAGCACTTAGATCTGGATATGCTTCTGAGGTAGGATTAGCGGAATTTCCTAGTGGATTAGGTGTAGGATATGAGGACGAGGGGAATTGAGGACTCAGTTGGGCCAGGCAGCAGGGAATTTAGAGTTGTTTATGGAGATAGGAAAGACTGGGAGAAACTGGTTTGTGAGGAAGATGTGTTCGTTTGTTAATTAATTAATTAATTGGAGATTTTTGCTGTAGGGCATGTGTGCTTGCCAAAGGGACAGAGACAGACAGAAAGTGAGAAATCAACTCCCTGGGGAATGACCACGCCACAATCCTTTCTCCTCCATTCTCCTTTTGGGATTTTGGGTGCACATGCACCCAGCGTGACTTTGAAGCCGCTGGGTCTGGGACTCAAACTGCAGTTAACTGGTGGGAGTCCGGTGACATAACTATTACGCCATCTGCTGGTCCTGGAAGATTTTTTTTTAATAAAGCCTATTCCAAATAATTTTTCAGTCTGTTTTCAGATTAAAAAAAAAAATGTATCATCATTTATTTTAATTTGTTATATAGGGCATGTTCACTCACTAGAAAGAGACACAGAGAAAGAGGAAAAGTGAGAAAGCAAGCCGCCAGGTTCAAGACTTGAGCCATGGTTGGCCATGTGAGAGCTCAGTGCTTTAATCACCATGCCACCTGCTGGGCCTATTTTCACATTCTTTTTTTTTTAAACTGCCAGAAAATATTTGTGCTTACCAGAGAGATACAGAACGAGAAGGAACATGAGAAAGCACCACCTGCCCCCTTCTTCCAGTAAAGAACTGTCACACCGCAACCCTTTCTCTATTTCTCCCTCCTTTGGGAATTTTGGGCATACATGCGCACATGCACAGGCCACCGGCATGTTTCTCAAGCAGTTTTTCAACCTGAATAGCAGCGTTACCTGTGTAAGATCCAGTTGCCTATGCCAGGGTTGGCTGCATTTTCAACTGTTTTGGCTTGAAAATAATAATATTAAGTAGCTGTGGATACAAATAAGCCTCATTAGAAGTTAGCAGCTTTGTTGCAACTAGGGGTCACCAGGTTACTCCTGTCATTGCCCAAAGAGGCTCTTAAGGTGTCACTAGACTCTGTACTGAGGCAACCTTGAAAGCTCTTATTCCCTGATCTCAGTGAAAGACTGAGGATAAAACCAAGGAAAATACCTCCCTGGGATAACAGCTTTTGATCTTCCATGTCCGAACAGAAAGCTGAGTCCCCTGCTTTGACAATGTCTAGCAAAGAAAGTGAGTTTCTCACCATCTATCCCAATTTGTCTGGGGGAGTCCCAGTTGATATCTACTATCTTTGTGTCATTATTAATAGCATCCCCTTTTACTTACATATCACTCCTTTTGTAGAATACCTTTTTTTTTTTTTTTTGTAATTAAAAGTGTTTAATTTCTGCTATAGGGTACCTGTGGTCACCAGATATCACTCATTTTGTAGAATACCTTTTTTTTTTTTTTTAATTAAAAGTGTTTAATTTCTGCTATAGGGCACCTGCAGTCATTAGAAAGAGAAAGTGAGAGAGAAATCGCCCCCTGGGGGATAGCCATGCTATAGTCCCCTCTCCTCCATTTGTACAGGATTTTGGGCATGTGTACATACACACCTGGCGTGTTTTCCCAGCCACAACCCAAGACTCAAACTACTCACAATCAGCCACATGGGATCCAGCTTCCCTAACCATGACACCATCTGCTGGCCCACAAGAGTAATATTTTTAAGAGTGAAAATTTGGGGCAAGCAGATGACATAATGGTTGCATGATCGGCCTCCTCAACTGCCGTTTGAGTCCCGGGCCTGGTGGCTTAAAACTCATGCCAGGTGGGACCAGCAGTTAGCATAATGGCTATGTTGCTGCATTCCCATGTAGTCGACCGTGGTTCGTGTCCCGGACCCAGTAGCTTAAAACTCACGCCGGGTGCGTGTGCGTGCGTGCCCCAAGATCCTGAGAGAAGACTGGAAGAGAAGAGATTGTGGCGTGGCCATCCCCCCTGGGGGGTGATTTCTCGCTTTCTCACTTTCTGTCTCTCTGTCTGGCGAGTGCATGCGCCCTATAGCAAAAACCTCTAAAAAAAAAAACTCATGCCAGGTGCATGTGCGTGCATGCCCAAAGTTTCAAGAGGAGAATGGAGAAGGGATTGCGGTATGGCCCTCTCCCTTGGAGGGTTATTCTTGCTTTCTGTCTCTTTGGTGAATGCACACGCCCTATAGCAAAAATCTCTATCAAAAAGAAAAGAAAAAAGTGTTCAGGTTTTCTCCAAAGCGTTCATTGGTGGTAAAAAAAAAAGAAAAGAAAAATGTACATATAGCTAGGGTGCAGCATTTCCAGTTTGGCAAGCAGTGTCAGTTTGATATTTTGACTATGAAGTCTGTTTGATCACTTTCCTTGTCCCAGCAGAGAGGAGTGAGTACTGCATCCAGGATGACTAGTAGCACTCGCTCTGTCACTCTGGGCACCTGCCTTTTCTTGCTCCTGTCATCCTCAGCCTTCACCTGAGGCCCTTCTCATCTTCCTGTTGTTTCTTGCTATTTATTTCCTGTGTTTCCAGCAGCTCAGTGTACCCTTTCCCCATGCGCTACTCCATGCAGAAACTAGTAACGGCAGACCACAGTGAGGACATCTCTCTTCTGCCATCGTGCATGTACTCTGCCCCCTCTGTGCCCTCTAGGAGGGGGTCGGGGTGGGAAGATGGGAGTGGGGAGTGGGTTAGGGGCATGAAAGGAATGAAGAGAACGAGGGAAAGCCAAGTGTGCGTTTGGAATATTCTTTCTCTGTCAACAAGTTACTCTTTGGTCTTGAGCGAACTATTAACATTGCCTCTCTCTGCTTGCTTTTTCCTCACCACGGTGACCACCCACATTTTCTGGCCTACCTTGACATTCAGTAGTTTACTTCTTTGTCACAGTAGAGTGATTCTTTTTGTGTTGTGTTGCTCCTTTGTCATCATTTAAAACATTTACAGTATTCTCACAGTTAAAAAGTGCCAGATAGGGGCCAGCAGGTGGCATGGTGTTTAAGGCACTGGACCCCCACCTGACCAAACCATGGTTCTGGTCCTGGACCTAGAGGCTTGAGAATCATGTCAGGCACCTGTGCATGTCATCCTAAAATTCTGAGAGGAGAATGGAGAAGGGACTGCAGAGAAGCCAGCTGACCTGAGAGTGATTTCTCACTTTTCCTCTCTCTGTCTCTCCTGGTGAGCACACATGCCATATAGCAAAAAAAAAAAAAAAAAAAAAAAAATCCTTAAAAAAAAAGTCAGAACACTGGATAGTTGAGGAATAGTGGTATAAGGAATGGATGATGTTTTTGTTTTTAAAATAATTATTTTATTCAATTTTATTCATTCATTCATTTATTTTAATTTGACCAGAGAGAGAGAGAGAGAGAGGAAAGTAAGAAAGCAAGCCACCAGGTCCAGGACTTTAACCATAGTTGGCTATGGGAGTGTCCAACGCCTTAACCACCACGTCACCTACTGGTCCCAGGAATGGATAACGTTAAAAAAAAAACTGGTAAAATGAAGAACAGGGATTAAGAGGCAAGAGGATTGGGGGATTTTTTTTTTTAAGGTAGAGTACATGAATTATCAAAATGGCTCTTTGGATTTATGTGTATTAATAGAAAAGTGATAGATGAAAGTAAGGGTGGAGAAAGAATCCGTGAACCGTAATTGTTACTAGGCTGAGCCCTTAACACGTGAGGCCTCACTCGCTTCCTTTTCGAAGAACCATCATGTGGCATGGGTCTGCCTTCCTCATTTCATTGGAGGGTGAACTGAGGCTCCCCGCCCACTGCTCCCTGGCCACTCATCAAGGGCAGGCTTCACTCTTCCTTGACATTCTCGCCATACATGTCGAGCTGAGCCTTTTTGGGTACTTGCCTCCACCTGCACTGCAGCCTCTAAAATTGATGCCCTTGCACGCTTGTGCACAGTCCTCTATAGCTCACCGCCGCCCTGCTCTGCCACCTGCTGGCCTCTGGGGACAGCTCCGGCCATCCACGCACATCCGCTGAGGCAAATCTTCAGTGAGCCCCTTTGCAGTGCCTGCCTTCCCATTATGGGCGAGGTCATCCCAACCCCAGGGACTTCTGTTCCCACAGCCCTGTGCCCATGGCCGTCGCCTTTGCATACTTACTGTTCTGTTCTTGGGCGGTAGCCTCCTACCTTCTGTCACTTGGCGTATGTTCTGCCACACCATACTGAATTTTGTCCTTCAGTTTTCTCTTTTCCATAAAACTAGAGCTTTGCAGGTCCTACTTTCTTACCTACAACTTCGTGATAATCATATTTCTAAGGCTGTTTTCTCAGACCTACCTACTGAGCTGTTTTGTCAGATATGAACCTTTTTTTTTGGGGGGGGGAGGTTTTCGCTATAGGGCGCATGCGCTCGCCAGATAGACAGAGACATAGAGACAGAAAGTGAGAAATCACTCCCCACGGGGGATGGCCACGCCGCAATCCCTTTTCCTCCACTCTCCTCTGGGGATCTTGGGCACGCATGCACACGCACCCAGCGTGAGTTTAAGCCACCAGGCCCAGGACTTGAATTGCGGTTGACTACATGGGAGTTCAGTGACATAGCCATTACACTAACTGCTGGTCCTGTATGGCATAATCTTAATAACTGTTTTGAGTATTGACTTAGGTCCTTCCCAAAACACCAAATGCACAGTTACACTTGGCAATTACGTTGGCATTCAATAATACTCACTCAACTAAATATTGTTTGAAAATTAAATAAAGATCACAGTTATAAAAGCTTATTGAAACATTACACCACTCATAAAAGTCCTAATACTTCTTCCTGGGTTAGGGACAGAAAGTTTTATTTTTTAAATTTTTGCTAGGAGATTCATGTGCTCACCAGAGAGAGACAGAGAAAGAGAGTGTGAGAAATTACCCCCTAGGGTGGATGACAATGCCACCGTCTCTTTTCCTTCATTCTCCTTTTGGGATTTTGATGTGTGTATATATCCATACCTGGCTTGTTTTTCAAGCCGCTGGGTTTGGGACATGAACCACTAACTCCGGTCGACTACATGGGAGTCCAGCGACATAGCCATTACGCCAACTGCTGGTTCCCAGATATGAATCTTAACAGATAAATTTTCTGCATAAGTTTACCATGGGCACCTGGGGCCTCTGAGTGTCTGAGTCTGTGAGAACCCCTAACCTATCGGTTGTAGCACGTACTCGATCGCAGGGCAGCGGAGCCTTCCAGCCTTCGCTGTACCTGCATCTTCCCACAAACTCGAACCTTGCCAGAGGGTTCTGCCTTCGTGCCTTTTTCAAATGTTCACCTGAAACCCTCCTTCAACCTACCTACGCAGTGAAGGGTTTGGAGTAGGAATACGGTGATCTGACTTGGCATTGTCTAAATACGTCACTGGCTGTCTTGGATAGACCTCTGTCTTACTGTGTAAGATCCTGCAGGAGAGTAACGCCCTCTGTTTTCTACCTAGGTACCTTGTGGGGCAGCGCCTCGTGAACTATGAGCGCAAGTCTGGCAAACAAGGCACATCCCCGTCACCCCCACCGTCGTCCCAAGAATAAAGTGGTTGTCTCAACTCCTCGACCTTCCCCTGCCTTCACGTGTCCTTTTTTGTGGACTTCTCTCGGAGATTTTCCCAGTGATCTCTCAGCATTGCTTTTAAGTTAAATGTGTTTGACTTGTGTCCTCAGCGTTCAGAGAGCGGCCGGGTAAGGCTGTTCTTGCCTGTGTCTTCTGACATCACTGCTGTCTGAGATCTGTACATGTGTAAATAGAAGTTCCTGGATACCCTAAAACCTTGGATTAAACAGAATGTGCATTGTACATCTTTAAACAAAATGTATATTAATTTATTAAATCTAGTTGTCACTTTATTTTGGACCTGCTGTGATCTCGACAGGAAGCGTGCCACAGAGCAGTAGTGCACAGGCAAGACTCGCAGTGCCGTCTTGTGAAGCGCAGGTCACGACACTCCTAGCTGTTTTACCGAGTCCATGTTGTCTGTCGTGCTGTTGAGACCTTACTGAGAACGTGAAAGGAAACAAGCGGAAACCCGCAGCTGAGTGTCTGTGGTAAGAAAACCCGAACTTTGTGCTTCACTGTTCGTCGTTTTTGGAAGTTATTTTGTATAACACCAAAGCGGTTGTACATTTTCTACTGCCTGATTTTTTTCCACGTGTCTGTGTTTGTAATATTGTATAGTACCTTGTGCTAGGTGAGGAAATTATTTTTAATTTTGATAATTTAATATTTCTAGTGATCAGCATTGGGAGTAGGGTTTCTGTGTTTGTTAGGGGCATGTCGATATTTAGAAAACAAATCCAAATGAAGATTTTCATCACCCCCCCCACCCTTTCCACACACAGCACTCTCCTTTTGGCAGCTGTGACCAAAAGTCATGTGAGATCATAAATCTTAGAGAATGACATCACCAGCCATACTGGATTTAGGACATTCTGAAATGAGGTAAAATGTAGATGTGGTTGTGGTCTTAGATGGACAGCCTTAGAGAAAACTGGTTAAGTCATCGAGTCCTATTGGTTAGTGCGTCATTTAGTGAGGATACGTTTCTTCTACTTTCCCATCTATGAATTCTAAACTTTCTAAAGCTCTTTGTTTACAGAATAAAACCCAAATAAAACCAGTTCAATTGTATTTATCCAGGAAGAAGCTGGTTGAGCTGGCCTTTTTTAAACATAGGAATTTATTCCATTGGAAACATGCTATAAATGTCAGAGATCTGAACACTTAGAAATTTGGTTGTCCTTACAACCAAAGCTTCAAGTTAGAAGTTTAGAGAACTAGAATGGTTGGGCACTTGAGTATTTTAACGGTAGTGGTATTTGGTAAGGATAGTGTTTGTTCCTGAATGGTAATTTAGAAGTTCTCATAGAAGGTAGACAGCATAGGTCTTCAGAAACTGTAAAGCAATTTTCATATAGTATTAAGTCCATAGACTAAAGTCTGAAGATTTTTTTAAAATATGAAAGTCAGCCAAACATAAGCTATCAAAATGAAAGAGCTACATGTTCTGGTTGTTTTATATATCAACAATTTTTCCCTAAATGGTAAGCATTTACTTCAAAATATATTTTAAAGCATCAGTATAACCCCCCCCCACACACACACACACACAAAAACAAAACAAAACAAAAGAAACTTGACATAGGATTCAGTGTTAGCCATTTGGCACTTTGTAACAGCCCTTTCTCTTGTATTTGAAAGAACGTCTTTGCCAGTCCTACCTTTGCTCAGAAGTTCAGTCCTGCTATAGGAAATTAAGAACATTTTAAAATGTAACGCTCTTTCCCTGTAAGCATTTACTTCAAAATATATTTTAAAGCATCAGTATAACCCCCCCCCACACACACACACACACAAAAACAAAACAAAACAAAAGAAACTTGACATAGGATTCAGTGTTAGCCATTTGGCACTTTGTAACAGCCCTTTCTCTTGTATTTGAAAGAACGTCTTTGCCAGTCCTACCTTTGCTCAGAAGTTCAGTCCTGCTATAGGAAATTAAGAACATTTTAAAATGTAACGCCACACGCTATGGTGTTTGTCTATGTAATTGTCGTCTTTGGGAGGAAAGGACTGATGAATTGGGCACATAACTTGATTATATTAATTTACATTTCTTTTTTAGGTTTTGAGGAATTTATAAATCTTGATATAAAGTTATTGAAACATCTGTTTTACTAGAAAGAAGCATGTGCAGATACTACAAAAGGTTGAAGATTGTTAATCCTAGAGGATTTTAAAATTAATCTTAGCAGATTTTTTTGGTGGAAAAAAAAATTAATGGCCAAAAATTTACCCAGTTTCATTGGCAGGTAATTTTCTATTGTGTTTAACCGTCCCTGGTTTTCAGTTGTGCTCTGTCCTGTTGTTTTCAGTAAAATAAATACTTTCATAAGGAAAGCGTTTTCTGGCATATCTGCTTAGGCGATACCCTGTTTTTTTTTTTATTAAACGATGGTCTTATAAATATTTAAAACCCATAGTTGAGAAGGAGCTGTTATGGCTGCCCTTCTTTACATAGAGTTTTTGATTAAATCATAGTGAAGTTTTGCTTCATTTTACATTGGGCTAAAACAGCCTTCAAGGAAGTTTGTTAGGAAAGGCATTTTGCTTTATTTTTACTATTTATAAATTGAAGACAGATCAACATTTGAGGTTAGTTTTACATGGCCATTTATCGGATGGTCGTCATATGAAGTGTGCAGTTGTTTGTTGTTAGCAAATTATGTTTGATTTTTAAACTATGAAGTACTAAGAGTCGAGATGGAAGCCGAAGGAAATGCCAATGTGAAGCTCATGCATAGCTAGCCTTAAAAAATCTCCATGTTTTAAGTGATTTTTTTTTCCTGTTCTCTAGAGAAACAGTGGAGATGGGACATCTCAATTCCAGATGTAAACAAAAAGTACTTTTTCTTTCACCATTTAGTATAGCTGTTATTACTTTGGATTCCTATCTTGCGTTCTTTTTTTCTTTCCCCTTCTTTCCCTTATTCAAGTAAATAGAGAATTACTTTCATTCAAATGATTTGATCCTAGATTTGTCATTTCTGTATTGGCAAAATGCTATTATTACAGTGTAATTCTTGAATTTAGGTTGAATTGATAACTTAAAATAAAAAAGAAACACTGGACATTTCTACAATGTATTGGGTTTGCAGACACGCATAGGAAAATATAGTGCTATATATAAGAACACTGGCACTTTTTAAAACTTTGCAAGTTAGCTACTTATTTTCATTTTCAGGATTGAGTATTTTAAGCTCTATGTACTGTGATAAGTTTTTTACATTGTAAAATTAAATGATTATGTTTAAAATACTCCTTTAGAATGTTATCTATCTAGTCATCAAGAAAAGACAAAACCAAAATGTCTTACCACTGAAGTATTATTAAAAGCCTCATTTGGAGATTCTCTGACTTCCTTGTGAAGCTGTCTACTTAACCTGCTCCCTCAGTCAGGTGTTTTCTTTTCAGCCCGTTACTGCCCTGTGCCGTTGTTGAGAACCGCCATCATAAGTAAGGGCTTCATTCCCGTAATCCCTGACAGTTATCTTTGGTGTTGATAGAACGTAAAGACAAGACGCTGCATCTGTGTGTTCATTCGTCTCTTGTACGAGTGCCTCATTTTGTAGTCATGAAAGTCTGTACCACAGCACCGTAAGTGAAAATGTAATGCCTACGGCCTAGGAGTGACTGCTGTAGAAGCTAAATGAACATTGAGTTATTTGGAACATCAGTTTTCTATCAGAGCAAACACCTTAGATACCCAGACCAGTTTTATGTGTATATATTCTAAAATGCTTCCTTTTTTAATGTGATCGCTTGTTGCCTTCTAAGTTGAGAGAACAAAATTGAATAAAGTGAATGTTAGTTGTAGCCTAGCTTTTTTTATTGCTTTGTTGTTGCTTTGCTGCAAGAATGCTTTAATGTTACAGAACTGTGCATTATTAGCAAATGAAAATAATCCAGCTATTTTTACAATAATAATTATTTAAGACAGAATTGACCCAAGTTACATGTGATTGTGACCCCTTCCTTCTGTTTTAAGTATAATACATACTTATACTTTTTTTTTTTTGAGAGAGAGAGAGATTTTTGCTGTAGGGTGCCTTCACACATCAGAGACACAGACAGAAAGCAAGAAATCATTTTTTTTTTTTTTTTTTTTGAGAGAGAGAGATTTTTGCTGTAGGGCGCCTTCACACATCAGAGACACAGAAAGCAAGAAATCACCCCTCAGGGGGATGACCATACCACAAACTCTTCTCCTCTTTGCATTTTGGGCACACATGCACACATACCTGACATGAGTTTAAAGCTGCCGGGTCTGGGACTCAAACTGCATATGACTATGTGGGAGTTCAGTAATGTAACCATTACACCATCTGCTGGTCCCAAAACATCTAGAAGGGTATTTCTGTTTTGTTTGTTTTTAAAGAATTATTTCTTTAATTCTTTTTTTTTTTTTTTTTTAAATTTGACCAGAGAGAGAGGAAGGGAAAGTGAAAAAGCAAGCCACCAGGTCTGGGACTCGAATTGCAGTCAGCCATGCGGAAATCCAGTACTCTCTTTTTTTGAGGGGGAGAGGTTTTTGCTACAGGGTGTGTGTGCTTGCCAGGAACAGAGAGAGACAGAAAGTGAGAAATCACCCCACAGGGAGGTGGCCACGCCGTAATCCCTTCTCCTCCATTCTCCTCTCGGGATCTTGGGCAAGCACGCACACGCGCCCATCGTGAGTTTTAAGCCACCGGGTCTGGACCTCGACCTGCGGTCGACTACGTGGGAGTCCAGTGAAATAGCCATTACACTAGCTGCTGGTCCCGAAATGCAGTACTCTTAGCCACCACGCCACTTGCCAGCCCCCATACTTCTATAAAGTATAGCTACAGAGGACCCATGTTGCCCTTCTCTCCCTCTCCTTTTTAAAACATTAAAAAATATATATATATTTACTTACTGTGATTTTCGATACGCTGGGTCCAGGATCTGAACCACAGTTGGCCATGTGGGAATCCAGTGCCTCAACTACCACACACCTGCTGGCCCCATCTCCCTCTGCTTTAATCACATACCGTCCTCACTGAGAAGATTGAAGCCCCTCCTGCCTCATAAGCGAGATACCGCCTGCTTTTGCACCTCACCTCCTCCACAGGATTGGGAAGTGGAAGTTTCAGCAGGGATGGCCTTTTAGATGCATGCTTTGGCGATTTAAGTAGTTGACAACATGTCCTAGAGAACAAGGAAATACGTGAGGTTTTTTCCCCCCTCCCTTCCTACATACCCTGAGGAAAGACATCTTTTTGCTTCAGAGACTTTTTGTAATTTTTCCGTGTTTCTAGGTTAAACTTTTTTTTGGGGGGGAGAGTTTTTTTTTTTTTCCCCATAGGGTGTGTGTGCTCGCCAGA